TATAATCAACAGCAACATTGTTAATTTGGAGAAATATTAACTACGTAATACGATGGAAAAAATCTTAGCAAGAGGCAGCATCTGGCCAACTATATCTGGGCTCAAAAGCTGAATAGGGTTGGCCCTGATTATTACTTAGATCAGCAGGAAATTCCAGAGCTGGGAAATGACAGAACATCCCAGAAGAATGCAGTGACAAAACATTTCTGTACTGTTTTAAGAAAACTGCATGGATGTATCCATGGAATTACCAGACGGGATCTGATTATGACTTGAGGAAGTCTTTACCTTTAATAAACAAGATGGAAAAATTTTTATTGGTGAGCTGGAGCAGGGAGGAAGAAACCATGATGGACACAATGACATTTTGTAAGCCCAGATAGATTTGTCTCTCTTTCCATTTACCATCACCCCTGCTGTTCTTCCTCTGCACTGATTTTTTCCCCCTTCTCATTAGTTTCATCAGAAGAAAATCATGCTAGCTCTATGAAAATAATTATGTTTCTCTTGTTTCAAGACTGAGTCCAGGTAATAGGGAGGGGTTTGAACTAGGCAATTACAAACCTTCTGCTCTCAAACATATTCTGTTTTAGCACCCTTACTATGAGAATTTTTATAGGACTAGACCTTAGTTTCTTCGGTGGCTCTCCCAGAGGAAAATGAAGTCTCTGGAGTCCAGAATTATTGTCTCTTTAAAGCATGCCAAAATTGATTTTGCTTTGAAAAAGGCTTCGGTCTAAATGTCCACCCCCACCACCACCTGACAGTTACTCAGCAGGTATATTTAAGTCTACAGATTTAATACCTTATCCTCCCGCTGAGACAAATCATACCTGTTTAACTAAAGCACATCATACAGCTATTAAAGCTATAGAATCTCTTTCAGGAGAAAATGTGCCAGTCTTCGTTTGAACATAAATGACTTGTCCTGCTATAACTGAGTATTTTTTAGATAGGTAGATACAGTTCCTCGCCCAGAACCACATCACACAATAAATTAAACCCTTATAATGTAGAAGCAACTATGGCTTGATTTTTAGGATTAATATCCTTACCCGTAGGAAATAAACCATGGGCTAGAAAGTCAAGCCTGCTGAATATTTTGCATTCTGTGAAGTAGCTGAATGAAAACCAACTCATTCCTGCTTCTAAACAGGCTCTTCAGTACATTACTAACATTGGCACTTTCAGTGAACAATTATACAACTTGGTCTAAAGTGCTTATGGCAGTGAGAAATTCATAACAATTTCCACTATAACTTAATGCCACCTATGTATTGCCTTCCTTAGCTGGCTCAGATTTGGCTGATCACTTTACATGGCAAGGCTACCAAATAATGCTTATCATACATTACAACTGATGCTATTATTATTGTTGCTGGTATTGTTATTCTAAGCAAATAATATTAAGGTTTGCTTATTAAAAAAAAAATACAGAAACAATCTAGTAAGGATTATCATGGCAAATATCACCTACTTCATTCTGGCCCAAATAATAAGCAAATTAGGGAAAACACGCTGAACACGGCTTCTAGCATTCTTTCCAACTCCTTACCAGAAGTAACTGTAGGAAGTGTTTATACTTTCTTATGTGTAACAAAGTAACATGTTCTGTCTGTGCATGTGTGTATATATGTCTGTGTATTTCTCCACAGGGACTAATCAGGATATATGCCTGTGTGTGTGTGTGCGCGCACGTGTGTGTCTGTCTTGCAGAGTTGAATCAGGGTAGGTGCATATTTATATTTTTTATTTATTTATATATCAAATTTGTCACCACCCATCTCGTTGAACGACTCTGGGCAGTTTACAAAACAGTTCAAAGCATATGTGTTACCTGTGTGCATGAGGATCTGATCCAGGCAAATGCATATTGTTGTGTCTGCATATATGAGAGGAAGAATGTGTGCACCTAATCAGGGTTGTTGCTTCTCTGTGCTTGGGTGTGTGTGTTTGCGTGTGTGTGTGCAAGAGAGAGAGGGAGAGAGAGAAACTAATAGAATGGGAAGCCCAGGGCTGGCTGCTTGTGCTCAACTTTCAGTCACATGGAGGGGGGGCTTAAGAATGGAGCAGTTGGTAGCATTCCAAGCCGCTGACCAGCTGACCCTCCATAGGGAGGCACTGGGAGGGGCAGCTGTCTGCGATGTAGCCTTCTGGTTGGATCCAGCCCATTTTCAAACTCCATATTTATTTTGATGGTGTCTCCCCTACACTTTATTTGGTCGTCTTCTGTTCAGTCTTCAGAGAGTTTTTGTGCTGACAAACAATCCCAAGCCCCTTGATTTAATTTATTTCCACTATTTGCTTGGGTGTAAAGAACAAAAAAGGGATCAACCCATTTTAAAGGGCAGTAGGTTACCAGAAGAGTCAGAGCAGTGGTCTTTTTATGGTGCGATCACCCTACTGCATTCATAGATTTTCATGGACGTGTCTTCTCCTAAGTTTGGATACACAGAGATGGCAAGGCTATATTTCTCACCATTCATGATCATTGGTCCTACTGGCTGTGGATAGAGGAGATTGCAATTGACCATTTAACCAACTTGCGATCATCTTCAATTCAGCTATCTTCAACAAGCTGAAAGCTATGAGCCAGTTAGGGCTTTCTCCAGCTGATCAGTGCTTGCCTGGACACTTGTTTTCCTCCCCTGCAAAATGAAGTGGTTTCCCCTTTTCCCTGGTACAGCAACTTTAGAAGTCATCTCCTGGTGGAAAAGGTGAGGGGTGAGCTCATCTTGCAAGATGCCCTATAGAGCCGTATGTCAAGCATTGTTTCTAAATTGGAGCAAGAGAGATAAATTTCACTCCCAAGGCATAGAGCAACAATCCTCCAGCACTACCTTTTGATTTCAGCTTACCATGTAAGAATGAGACTATTATAAGTATGTAATATGAATATATACAGTATATTTAATACCTGATTGAGACAGCCAATCCAGGAGGATATTGTGGCCAGAAACATCTGCAGGATTTCATCAAAATGATGAAAGCAATATCTCACTGCAAGTTCTACCCTTTCGTACTTGTGTGAGATGTCACAAAACGCTACAAAAGGGTTGGAGGTGACAAAACAACACTGTTTTTGTCACTCCCCACCCCCACCTCCATGATGCCTCTAATTCTGGTTGATGGTATTGATAGGGCTCAGAGGTAAAGGAGAATTAACATAGTCACATTCATCCTGCCCTTCTCTCCGAAAAGGCAAAACTAGCCCTGAAGTCTGATGGAAAAGGATCTTTAAAAATCAGACTTTAATCCAAGAGTGTCTGGAATTGTTTAACACAATAACCAGAACATGAATTGTTCCATAGTTGTCTATATAATCTAGCTTCTGATTGTATTTCTAGCAGTCTACACAGTTTCTTTCAAGGTGGATAGCACTTTCTCAAAAAGGAATTGACAACTTCCTTGCAATCATTTATAATTTCCTTTGTAATAACAAGCAGCAAAAAGCTTTTCAATAGTTTCTTATGTCTTTTAAGAAAGGACAGATTTGAAAAAGTGCTTATGATAGCTCTTTAGTGTGGCAAATGTAGGGATAAGTTTATGTGCTCTGCTTTCAGGTCTTCAACCAACATGCTTCAGGCCCTGGCAGCTTCTCAAGAGGTTCCCTTATGGTTGTGACTATAGCAATCCATGAAGAGACTCCAGCCTGAGGAATCTGCTCTCCCAAACCCATATTCAAATCCATACACACATTTATCACTGTGTGCTGAGTTAAATATTGTTCTTACATAGTATGTTTAGGAAATAGTTAATGAAGGGTATTTAATACAGTAAATATGCAACTCCATCCAAATTCGGATCAAGAGACTAATACGTTAACTGGGATCATGTGAGATAATCTAATAGCTACAGCATGGCCAATTATTCTGAAATACAGTTAGTCACTGCTGTGATGCATCATCTGTGTCATTTTGTAAAATTAGTTTGAACCCAGAAGATGCTCCCTAATTATATTTCTCTCTGCTTGCTTGATCCATGCCAGTTATTACTGTCCCCCTCTGCAAGAAAATAAAATTCATCTCCTCTGCTTGAGTTTTTGACTGTTTGTTTTTACTGATTGTGTGGAAAGTGCAATGTTTTTATCAAAACTGTATCCAGGAAATGATGTTCCATGAGTCATCCTGTCCAGTAACATTAGATCAGAAAGCATATTCAAATGCATTTAGAAGTGACCTCCAGCTGGTACCTTTTGATATGATTTAACATTGTTATGTATTCCTGTTTCCCCAGGCAATGAGAATTCCAGAGACCATGTGTTAACTGTTTGTTTCTTTCAAATGAAGGAATATGGGAGAGTTAATACTTATTTTATTTATCATTATAAAAGAAAGACATAACTGAAGCAAGTGGATTACTCCAATTAAATTGCAGCCCATAAAATCTTGGACTCTGTAAGGCTTACTCCTGAGTAGACATTCACAGGATCATGCTGAAAGCCCATAGATCTCTAGAGAATTATTAGATCAAAAGTTCTCTCTCTCTCTCTCTCTCTCTCAAAATACAAAGTGATATTTTAGTATTTCATTGCCACTTCTTTTTAGTTGATAAGGTATCTCATTTCAAAAGCTGTTCTCAGCTCATTTTAGACAATTAACAACCTATCAGCCTAACAAGGGATGGGAAAGATTACTGTTCTAATAGTATTGTTGATGTAATGGGTATGTCTAGCAAGAAATAATGTCCTATATGTATGTATTACACATATTTACAAAAAGGCAAGAACAAATGGTTGTGCATTTTTAGGAGAAAACTGTTCAAGTAGGAACAACTTTGTTCTGACTAGAGTGTCAAGTGGTTTATCTCCAGTCTGTCCAGCAATAGGAGCTACCATTAATCCACCAAGGTTCTGGCTGTATGCAAAACACATATCTTCTTTTGCCTTTTCATTGTGATATTCCCTTAAGTGGCTAGCAACACAGCATACAAAAACCACAATACACGTCTCTTAAATCTTAGGATAGCTTTTCTGATGTTTTATTATTCTTTTTGTCTAGTCCGAGATCGTGTACGATCAAAAATGGAAAGAGACATTTTGGCCGAAGTGAATCATCCTTTCATTGTAAAACTTCATTATGGTAAGATTTCTCTAACAGAGAATTCACATGCCTCTATGGACATTTTCAACTGGATATATCATACTGTACTATTCAAAATCATTATCCTATATTCTTTTTTAGCTGCCTGTTGAATGATGGTAGTGGTGGAGAACATATGCAGCCATAAGCCGTGGTTTGCCTACTCCTGCTGTAAGATATCAAGAATACAGAAGCATTTTCAGAACATGGAATAGTAGTATTTGGGAGGAAAATATGACTAAACCACTGCTTATGGCCATCCAAAGAACTATAAGCTACACTTAAACTGTCACCATATCTCATAATCAGAGTTATTTTCTCATTCGCATTCTGTGAAAAGTGACGATGTTTGACCATGATCCTGGTCAGGTCATTTTTGTCAGAAAGTCCCTTTCAAAGCAATTTTTTAGCACTGGAAAAGGGCTGCACTAGGCTAACAAAGGAATATGTGCCAGGGAGCCATTTATAAGTGATAGCTAAGAAAAAGAAAAACACCAAATTGACAAGGAAATTCAAACCATATTATTGATGTATTAGCATATAAACTAGCAGTGTCATTTCACAATCACACCAATAAATCCATTTTAACCCATTAATTTATTTGAGAGCATTCATTCATTCATTCATTCATTCATTCATTCATTCATTCATTCATTCATTCATTCAATCTTTGTTATAGTCGCCAAACTCCAATGGACTCTGGGCAGCATACAAAACCAGAAACTTGTTAAAACAGATAAAATATAAAACATATAATTCTAAAGATATGCTGTTTTTTTCACTCTGGATTTCTCACAGGAGCAAAAGCAAAACTTGCAGGAGCAAAAGCAAAACTCACAGGAGCAAAAGCAAAACTTGCAGAAATGTCAGGGAAGAGGAAAATTCAGAACTAGACCCTGAAGAAGATTATATATTCCTTCAAATATTCTACCAAGCAAAGTGGTTTGCTTAGTGAGGCAATAGGACAGCCTGCAGAAATCTGGGTCTTTGCAAGGTCTCTCCCAAAGGCAATAGGCCATCCAAAGAGAAACTCTTTTTGCTTGCTGATAAGAAGCACCTGAGCACAGGGGCGAGAGAGTACTTTTTCATAATATTCTCGTTGGTAGTATTTTCCCATGGGAGATGGAAGGTGGGAAGGAGATGGAGTCTTGAAAAAGGGTTTGTGGGAAGAGGAAGGAACTTTTAGGAGAAATAGATAGAAGTGTCATGGCTGACAACCCAAGATGGATCTAGACGGTTTTGGCTGTTGAAGCTTTTTGATTTTAAAAAAGAATGGCTACTGATCCTAAGAAGGCCTAGATAGTTTTGATCTGCTGAAGGAGTATTACTTCTAAGGGATCTTTAACTGTTCCAGGGCATGATCTGAAGAAAATCACAGAAGTAAGTTCAAAGCATGGCCCAAAGGCCACAAGGAGGAAGAAACACATTGGGACCTTTTCTTCCCTTCAGAGACTACACTCTGTGAGACAAGAATTTACATTTAGTTGGCATGTTAATCTACTCACACAAGGCAGAGTCTTCTAGAAGCAGGAAGCTCTACATGTCTAGTAAATAATGCCTTATTTCAGAATGCTTCTAGAGACTTTCATCTCAAGACTCTGATTTATCAGTCCTATCTTTCCCCCTGCAGTTGTATCAGTCATAAGAGAATGGAGAATGAAATATGGCTAACTAGTTGTAAATAACTCTTGCAAAGCCAAGAGTAGAAACTTGCTTCACTTGCCTTGCTTGTGTTAATAAAACAGAAAAAAAAAAGCACAAGAAGCATTTTGAGTCTGTATGTTGGATCAGATCCCATGACTCCACAAACATCTGTGACAGGTGATAATCACCTCTCCCTATTTCAAAAGGTACTTTCATAGAGTTAATTCATTTGGCATATTCATCAAGAAACTCAAAGAAGGCATCTTTTGAAACAGTTCTAGTATTCTGTCACATCTGAAAAAAAATTATTGGGAGATGTTGGGCTACATTTCTGAACCAATCATTTATTTTTCCAGTTTTGGTTTGTGATTTGCCTCTTCCATTTCTTTCTTTTTCTGACAGGGGTCTACCCATCCCACTGACTCATAATATATTTTTGACATATCATAATGTGCTAAACCAGGCATTATGCTTTGTCATCCATGATGAATAGCTTAATTTTATGAGTGAACCAGCCTATTATGATTTGTTCAAAAATCCATCGTTAAAATAAACTATGGTTTAGTGTAATGTGTGAACCCATCTTATTAGAATTATGCATAATAATGATTAAATTGTTAGCCACATCTAAGCACAGTTATAATCCGTGTAGAGTATTATTATTACTAAAAATTCAGCATTACCATTTTCTTCACTGTAGCATTTCAAACAGAAGGAAAACTGTATCTCATACTAGATTTCCTACGAGGAGGGGACCTTTTTACCAGACTTTCTAAAGAGGTAAGACCAATAGACTAAATGTTGGTGATTAACCAAAATAATAAATTGCTGCCTTTGTGTCTCTTCATAGCAGAATCCATCTTTAAGATTTCTTCTTTGTTTATGGTGTGCACATTTGGCACTACATTTTTATGTAAGCCATTTTGAGCACAATTCATTATATTTTATATAGTGGTGTGTTTCACCCAGCCTGTCTCAATCTGAGATTTTCTAAACCCTTTGGACCACCTCTTCTCATCCCTCAGCCAATATAGGTTTGGTAGTGGAGTGCAACACATCTGGAAAGTACCAAGATAGGGAAGGCTGGTTTAATCAAATCTTTAAAGTGTATTTATCTGCCAGTTGTGTTTTACAATCTGGGTTGCACTCAAATTTTATCTTTCAGAAATAGGACCATTGTTCTTTGACCTAGCTGTCATCTGATATTACCAGCAACCACTTGCAGAAACTAATTTGTCTGCGGTCTGTATTTTGAGACTGGGTTTAAAAGTCACGGCTGTAAACCTTTTATCCAGTTATGGATTTTGGAATAATCTATGCAAGATGGAATGATAATGAAGCTGGACTCCCTGAATCCTAATTTCCTTCCTTCCTGCCCAGTGCTTTGAATGATAGGCAAGAAGTCATCTTCTTGCCCATCCTAAAAACAGAAGTTCGCAAGGGATGAGCATGACCCAAAAGTTCTAAAAGTAGCTAGTAAACAGCAGGCTAAGATAATAAGGAAATGACTGCTGTGTCAAATTTTGCTTATAACATCCAGAATACATTCCCTGCTCTTCTCATTTCTGTCAGCCCTGGGGGCAAAGCACCATAAAGACTTGGAAAAACTTGGCCAGCCATCCCAGATTGTGAATGGTGATTAAAGCACCATCTGAAGAATAATAGAACAGCTGGGAAGAGGAGGAGGAAGGCCTTCTGCTAACCATTTGCTGGCAGCAGAGATGGCATTCAGTTGATTTCTTGGAACTGGCCAGCCATCAATCATAACCATGTATTTGTTCTAGCATCCAAACACATTCTCTCTTGAAATATACCTTGCTATGTGCCACAGAAGAGAAACCGTGCTTCTCTTCTCCCGCCCCCCCCCCGCTCCTTTTTATGCTATAATCTGTAGGGCTGTGCAAAGTATTCAAAAGAGGTATCTTGCAACTTGCAGGAGGACCTCTTCTTGCATTGCTCAAGCATCCCCATCATTTGCAAAGCTGACAGAGCTGTTGTGGAAGCTGCTCCCAACTCTCTCCCGATGTGTATGCAAAGTATTTGTGCATGCACATGCATGGAGAGACAGACTAGAGTAGCTTCTGGACAGCTGGGTGAGCCTTGCAAACGATGCATGTTTTTTAACAGTTCAGGAAGTGGTGCTTTACACATTCCCACATTGCAAAGCACCTTTTGAATGCAATGTACAAAGGAATATAAATAATTGAACTCCACAGTTTACAGATGATGATACCAATCTAATATTTTAATTTAACACTGGCTTTTGTTAGAAAAACATTATTTGTTCAACTGGGCAAAATAGGGTATTTATTATTCTTTTTGAAACATAATGTTCACAGTGCAATTCTGTATATCTCTACTCAAAAATAAGTCCCATAGAATTCAGTTGGGCTTAATTCCCAGGAATAGTATAAGTTCATTTGCATTTTAGACTTGGTACTAATTCTACCTCCCTGCCTGCTCCTTCTCTGTCTGCCCACTATGTTTTAGTTGTTAGGTGGCTATTTTTCTATCTTAATTTCTATTTTAGTATCTTTATTCACAGATAAGTCAGATCTGACCTTTCTTCCTGTCCAACTCTCCCTTTCCTACTGATTTCATGGCATCCTTCCTATGCCTTCTAAATGCTGACCTGTGAGGGTGTTTCATGGGAAAGAGTTCCAGCTTTCCCATGCAGTGGGAAATGATGTTTCAGTGGCTGTATACCATATGCTAGGTTACTACTCTCAATGAAGTAGTTGTCCACTTGAGTTTTCAGCCACAGGTGGTTAGTAGCCAGTCAATCTGCCTCTAGTGACTGTTTCATTATCCTTTGGTGGGAAAGAAAAAAGATCTAAATCGACCAGCCTACGTTGGGTTAAATATATCAAGGCTGTCACTATTCACTAGGACTACCACAGCTACTATTACTGCTAATAATAATAATACAGTCACCTTTTTCTCACCTGTCTATGTGGCTTTTCAGAGTTTTCAGTCTGGGTAAATCACAGTGATTACTCAGCTCTTATTTCTTTCTAAGCAGCTGTGCCAATACCAAGTGGATGTTGTCATTACCTTAGAGCAGATGGACTTTAAAAGTCTCTTCCCGGGTGCCTTTGACCGCAGTGGAACTACCTGCTGGTTTCTTCCTGTGGCTTTCAATCTCCTCGGCAACTGAGATCATCAAAGAATAAGACACAGTCATCATATACTGTAGCTATCCCTTAAATGCACCCTATCCATTTCATTTTTCCATAAGAAAGCAAAGGGTACCAACTTCAGAAAATGCATGGTGAAACCCAAACAGATCTCCAGAATATTATTTTCAATTGATCTTTGCTGGCTGCTTCCTACATATATCTAGAAATTGTTGTTTGAGGGAGGAGAAAACCAACAGAAATCTTTTCTGTTTTAGCATGAGGATTAATCACAATAATTGTAATATTGGAAAATAAACCACTATGTAAGTTTTAAGCTCAAAAATAATGGTTGTATAAAGAACACAGGATTGGGGAGGGCAAATTACAAGTTTATTTTGAAAAGGAAGTATGCATACTTCAACAGGGTGACTTGAAATTTCTTTTGCCTTTTATCTATATTAGAGGATTTCCTCTGTAACTTTTTAAAAATGGGAGTCATAGCAAATACAATCTTATGAATGGTTAAGCAGATGAGTTCATTCTATGGGGCATTTTTCAGAACATGTTCTGAAAAACTGATTTATGCTGGCTTGGAGAAAACAGCATCAAACCTATTTGGCTTTTGTTTTCTAAATCTTTAGAGCTATTATATGTTAACAATAAACTTACTGGGTAAGATTTAAAAAGGGATATTAAAGAGAATTGGCATTTTTAGTTTTTTGTATGAAACAGGATGCATTGCCCAATTGTGCTACATAGGATAAATTCCTCTCTAAATGGTTTTAAGACTATTCCACTTAGCCTGATATTGTCAACAATGACTGGTAGTAGCTGTCCACAGTTTCAGGCAGAAATTTGTCCAGCTTTATCTGTAGATGTCAAATCTATTGCATTGCTTATTACTTTGCTATGGTCCCTTCGCCTAATTTAATTCCTTCTAATTCTAAATTGCTTCTCTTCTATTTGCTAAACTAATGTTTTGTCATTGTTTCTTTTAAAAAATCCATGGGGTTAATCTAAAGTTAGCAAGTCATGACCATTCTAAATTCCACTGATTTTAATAGATTCCCTCTAAATATGACTGAATCTAGCTCCATATAAATAAACTTGTTCCTGTATATTATACACTCTTTTCTATTTTTCTTTTTCCAGGTTATGTTTACAGAAGAAGATGTTAAGTTCTACTTAGCTGAGCTGGCCTTGGCTTTAGATCATCTTCATGGTCTGGGTATTATTTACAGAGATTTGAAACCAGAAAAGTAAGTTAATGCAGAAACATGTTATTTTAAATGATGTTACTTTGTTTTAATCACAAAATGTACATGAAATTATGTAGGATTTCCTCACCATTTTATCTCCTAAATTGCCTAACCCCAAAAGAACAGGCCGCATCATCTGGTGAAGAATAAGATAGATGATGGAAGAGAAATTATTGAAGCCTGAATTGAATTCTTCCCATATTTGGCATTGCCCATACTTTTGCCTCCATTTTCTGGTCCATGTAATTTCCAGTAAATACCTTTAATTTGTTCAGAATATGCTGCTTTTCCATTTGCTGAGCATCATCTAATGACAACATCACTGTTCTTTTAAGAAAAAAATTAGAACAGTTGATAGTTATTAGAAAGAACAATATAGATTCACTTTCTCTTTCTTATAGAAGGATAAAGTGCTGCTGGTGTACTCTGAATTACCTATAGATCAGGGGACTGCAGAACTGGATTGTTTTCTTAAATATAGTGCTATTGAGAAGCAAGGACTGAATACAGTACAGGCAGTAGGGTACAACCATTATTCATGGAAGCAAGCTTTGTCAAAGGCAACACAGAGAGGAGAAAATAGTATTTATTAAATAATAGTAGTGACAACTGTTAGTCTGTTAGTGTTGATTATTCATTTGCGTTCTATGACAGTCTGTTCTTAGCCTACCAAAGTTTTATGGAAGATCATTTCTTTTCAAGTTACTTTTCATGACAAAAGATAATTACATCTGAAAAGGAGACAGTGCAGTTTTCTTTTTTAGGCAATCTTTTTCAAACAACACACCTTGGGATGGGGGAATTATGTATCTCTTCTTAACCTCATTCCTAATGGATGAATATAAACAAATCTGAAGAACTACACATAAGGGAAGGAGGAATGGAGAGGAAAATCAAGAATGCTGTTTTTCATTATAGGCAATTTACTTAAAGTTCTAGACATCAATGACAGTCTGCTTTGATTTAATATAATAACTTTTCATTGCATTGTCTTCTAGCATTCTTCTAGATGAAGAAGGACACATTAAAATTACAGGTAAGGAGCACCTTTCTACTGCAGCTGTATCTATGTTATCTATTATATATCCACTTGGTGACCGAGCACCTAGCACATTTGGGTTGCCATCAGAACCCCAGGCTCATTACAACGTTTACCTCATTGCTGCTTTAATTTTAGCACTCCAAGCAGTGTGAAGCAGCCATGATATTAGTGCTCCCAACAATATTCTGAAATGGTGCATAGAATGTACTCATCTAAGCAACTTGGAACATTGCCTCTGCAGCCAGATAAGTTCACGGGTTCAGAAGAGCTGTTTACTTAGGAAGACATGGTCACTCTTTAGTCCTGGGAATATATGGGGCTGATGTGAGCTGAAGTCCAAAACTGAGCAAGAGATAGATAAATATGGATGGATGTACTTTTGGTGCCCTGATATATACTTTATTTGGAATATTCAAAGTGACTAAAATTATATAATATATTCAATTTTTTTAGATTTTGGCCTGAGCAAGGAAGCCATTGACCATGACAAGAGAGCTTATTCATTCTGTGGGACAATAGAATACATGGCTCCAGAGGTGGTCAACCGGCGAGGGCACACACAGAGTGCAGATTGGTGGTCCTTTGGTGTCCTAATGGTAAGGGGAAAACTCTACTGCAATTCACTGATTGATTGACTTATCAATAAGAGAATATAAACTCATTGTGAAGAGCATATTTATGAGCTTGAGAGGGGTTTTTTTGTTTTTGTTTTGCATTTATGTGACTTCTCTCTAGCCGCCCAGAGTCCCCCGTTGTGGGGAGATGAGCGGGGACAAGTCAAATAAATAAAATAAAATAAATAAATAATATTTACCACCCCTGTGGATCAGATCTAGGCTTTGTTTAGATTCAATGACTGTACATTTAAGTATGACTAAATCTGGGCCCAGCCCTATTAAATTCCTTTAGGCTGATCAGGGCAGTTCTTCTAGCCCAGTATGGCTTACTGTAGAGGCAAAGTCTTAAGCAGGAACTCTTTCAAGTGGAGGTGCTCAGGATTAAATCCAGGCTCCAATTCATGCAAAACTTACTACCATTAAACTGGGATATCTGTATATAAATGTAGAGTAAAAATTGACTGCAGATATTTAGAGCCATTTCCTGTGTTGTATTAACATCAGTCCTCTTTTGTCTTAAAATGTGATTTCAGCCGTTGTAGCTCCTGTAGTCCAGGTATTCATGACTTTTCATCCACAATTATACAATTGAAATAATTTAACTAGCATACTGCATGTAATTTGCATAGTTTTTCACAGTTGTGTGGGTAGTTTGGGAGGTACCAGACACTGGCATCTCCAAGGGTATGATGGCCATTCTTTATCCTGGATGAAAATGATACTAGAATCTTACTGAATCTTGTTGCTCCAAGTATTTAATTTTGCATGGAGGAAGGCTATATCCTTAGGTAAGAGTAGTCAGTGTATTATCAGCATGTGTCGACTGAAGCATTCTCATCTGTGAAATCAGCAGCACAGTAATTCATTGATGGTAAAAGTAGTATGTAGGAGGTCGTACCATCCAGACTGCTATGGTTTTCATTCCCTTCATCTGAACATCTTGGCAACTAGCTGTTGCCAAAACAGAATGTTTATTCATTAATTTAGATAATGTACTAAATAGGAGTTTTTTCAGGCTCTTATGAACTTACTTCCCTTTTAATTCCAGTTACTTATTTTCTTTGCCATGGCCAGGTTTTCATCGAGCCACTTGGTATGTCACACAAGGCTGAATGCTCTGTTGTTTTCTTCTTCCATATGGCCTTCCAATAGAGTGAACCTTAATCTTTGCACATTGTACTAGCCCTGGCTTGTATAAGAAATATCTAGGAAAAAATCTGTACATAAATAATAATGGCTGGTTTTAAATAATACACTAAAACCAAATCAAATAAAGAGCATTATGGTTTAGTGTGATGTGCCTTAGTCTTAGAGATGAGGATTGTTCCTAATCTGTACTTACAGATCTTTGCACCCTGGTACTCCTTCCCCTGTCCATCTTGATACTAATTCTTTTGCCAAGGAATTGGCTATAGAACTTTCCATCTTCTTATCAGATCACTTTTCCCCAGCTCTCAACCTTTTTTATTGGGATTGACTTGTCCTTGCAGTTTTCCCACTGTGCCCTCTTCTGTAGAGGCTGTCCATACTTGCAAACCTGTACAGCCTCTCTCTCTCTCTTTTTACATCTAATCCAATTTGGAATAGGAGAGCAAAAGCGTGTCTGCTTCTGCCGCAGCTATGGCTCATTACGGAAGCACTGCATCACCATCCATAACATGCCGTTGCTAGGAAACAAGAGAGGTTTATTTTATAGACAGTTGAATTAATGTAAAAAGAGTGGTCAAAAGACAGGGAAATTAAATTGCCTGAGACTGGTCTTTTAAGGATTATGAAGCGGCTAACCAGTCATTCAGAAATTGGAAGTTCCTGACAGAGGAACTGAAAATACAAATATATGGGGAAGAAAAGAAGGCATTGGAGACTTACCATAAGAGGGACAAAGGAGACCAGTTAAAAGGCAGAGATGTTAGGGAGAAGCCTGGTATAGCCTGGACCACTTTCAGCCTGGTGCAGCTGAAAGTGGTCTACATCTTCATAAGTTGACCATATTTTTTTATTTCTGATTTCTAGTCCATTGCAAGATATGTCCTTTGTTTCTAAGGCTGAAGCCAGCCAAAGGAGGATGTGTGAATGGACAGGGGTTTGGCTCAGTATTAGATTACATGGATTTTTGTGCAGAATGTAATGTGGTCTTTCTCCTAGTACCACTATAAGACTGAAAAAACTACTGCCTGAAATGCTGAAGCATCACTGCCAGTTAGCAGTAATGGGCTATATAAACCCATGGTCTGACTAAAAGACTATTTTAGAATATATATTCAGTAGAACTCATTCGTTCAGATGTGTTTAACCCAGAAAAGCAATAGCCTACTTCTCAGCATTCACAAGTACCCATCAGTTATAGGAGCCAATTGATGCAACATTTTATTCCCTTCCCCCATTTTTTTAAGGTGGAGGAGTCATAATAAAGCATCTTCATGAAGTTTTAATGATCATTTGGCTAAAATATAATGCCTGGAAGCTTCTTTTTCTTCATACCTCTCTATTGTGCACATCCTGAAATGCCTTTCAGGACTCTGCTGGGTGCTGTATAATTTATGCAGACAAGTCTTCTTACTGTATTTCAATCCCCCCTCCCTCCCCGGTAAAAACTTCATTCACTCTGTTTCATCCTCTGTGAATCCTGATGGAGCCTTTATTCATAGCAACATCCACAGCCTCAAACAATAGTTGGTTTCTTTTTACGGAAGTGACCTTAGACAGTGTCACACAGCATCTGGCACCAGATTACAGAAACTGCAACCATCACTTCTATATTATTTGGGAACTGGAGGAAATGCCAAAATCTTGGACAGAAATGTGAGAGAGACAGATCGTCAGACAGACAGACACATTCATTCTTAAGTGGAATCTTTTTCCTACCCTCACATGAAGAAGACTTTAGCTACAGCCAGGAGTATCTCCAAGTAGAAGCTGTAAAGGAATTTAGAGCTGACCTTGCAGAAGATATGTGCAAGCCATTCAGAAGAGACTTGGACAAGAGAGTACACAATCAAGAGATAGAAGGAAGCATGAGAAAGAAATTCACCTTGATTGTGTTTAGTATAAGAGGGGACCGAAAGAAACTTATGCTGGCTTTCAGGATTCTGTTCATAAATCCTATCCCAATAAAAAAGCATTCCTGGAATTCTGCAGTGTCTTCTTCTTAACCAGGCCTACCTCGAAGAGCTAATGGGAGTGGTGCTGGTGAAAAAAAGTCAAGATAATGACTGCAGCCATGCAATTGAAGCCTGGCCCTATTTCATGTGCCTTGATCACACAGTCAGGGCTGCCATCTTCGGTTGTTGTTTTTTTTTTAACCTCCTCCCCCTTCCTGCCGTAAGCTGTTGCCTTTCAGAAATGTTAGAATTCACCTCCCATAATCACAAGGTACAATAGTGAAAGGACTGATATATAATATTTAGTGGTATGGCTTGCAGCTTCTAATGAGAAGTGTCATGATCTCCTCATGAATATGTGTCACAGGAACAGAAGAATCCCATGGAGATTGGAGAGGACTATTCTCAGAACCAGCAAGGAAGAGCCAACTCCTTCTGTCTCTTGGGATCCCCCACATCTGGTACCAAGTAGTGCACTAATGACAAGAGTAATACAGAGGTGCAAGGCTTTGAGGCCATGCTACTTGAGCATAAAGGCATCCACAGAACTTCTCCCTACTACACTGTTCTCTTTCTAAAGCCAAATTTGGGTAGAATCTTTTCCTGCTGTAAGAAATTATGGGAAGGCAGGGAATGAGGCATTCAAAGATTTATCTCAGAAGAAACATCTGAGTCCAGATGTGAGAAACATAGGGAAAAGGTACTTCAAAGAAACTTTGCGTTAATTAACTCAATATAACTCAGGCTGGGACTTTATTTTTAACGTGGACAAGCATAAAACATAGCTTCCTGAAATCTACATTGCTCTTGCTTCTTTGGTCTTGCCAGCTATGTGGGGCTAGACAGCTGGGTCTGCGTAAAAGCCTTGAGCAAAAGGTAGTTAAGTGCTAAAGGAAACATCACCTCCACCAGTTTCTGGGCATGCTAGTAGAAGGGAACTTCTACTAGCATGCCCAGAAACTGGCCAAGCTTTCTTATCAGACGTTGGCATTGTTTCCACCTGTACTATTTCAAGGCCTGGGCTTGGCTTAGACTCCCATTGAAGCTTTTTCCCACTAATAGTGTACTTTGTATTCCTCACCTTAGATTGTAGACTACTTACCTTCTTGTTTTCTCCCGCATATAAAAGTGAGGGAAATGTTTCTCTCCAACTTTTCCTTGACAAAGAAACCCCCTTTCCCTTTTCTCTTCACACTTTTGTCTTCCCTTCTCCATCCTGTTCCTCTGAAAAGGGAGATTATTTGCAATGATTTCCAATAGACTTGCAATAGAATATTATAGTGTACGGTATTTGGTTGTACATGTGTGTTTCACATTATTCTGCCAATGACATTCAGATTTTTATAGCTAGTGAGCATGGTTAGATTTTGTTGAGTTGTTTAAGGGGCTCCCCCCCTCCCCTTTATCATCTCCCCCCCCCTTCCATATTTCATA